TATATATATATATAAAATATTTAGTATTTACTATATATTTATATTAGTGTATAATATAACATATAATACTTAGTATTATTATATATACACCTTAGTATAAAATAAGTATATAATAGTATTATATATTAGGTATTTTATAAATGCTAAGTGCTAAATACATATATACCTTAGTATATATATATATATATATATATAATACTTAGTATTTACAATGTATAATATAATATATAATACTTAGTATTATTATATATATATACACCTTAGTATGAAATACTTAGTATTATATACTAAGTATTTTATAAATACTAAATGCTAAATACGTATGTACCTTAGTAGTATTTATATAATACATATAAATACATATATACCTTAGTAGTATATATATATAATACTTACAATTAGTGTATATATAATAGTATTATTATATATACATGTATATATAATAGTATTATTATATATACATGTATATATAATAGTAATATTATAAATTATATATAAAATACTTAGTATTATATATAGTATTTTATAAATATATATTTAAGTATATATATAGTATTTTATAAATACTTTATAAATACTAAATGGTAAATACATATACACCTTAGTATTTATATACCAAGTATTTTATAAATACTTGAGTTGGCGTCCCATTTACGCCGCAACTGGTGGTACGCCAGCAGTGCTAGGGGTTAAAGATCGATGGAAATCTATTGAATCGGTATTCCAGGTTCGCTGAAATACGTTTTCTTCAACGACAAGTCCATTATTTATGAGTTGAAACGTTCCAATCCCATGGTGCATTATATCGGCGTGTTGGAGCCAGAATACTACGAGGCGGACGTCGATGTGATTCCAATAACGTATCCGTTCGCGGACAGCCACATTTGGTGGCCGATAGTGCACACCGACTCTCTTAAATTGAACTTCGACTTCAAAAGTTCGAAGCCCGTGGCCGTGGTCGCGTCAGGGGACGTGAAATGTAACCGTAGCCTTGGATACTGGGAGGTACGTCGAGGAAATCTTGTTTTTCGAGAGACGATCAAAAAAGAAAAAAAAAAACAAACAAATCCGTACGTAGTTCTATACTACCAGCAAAATAAATTGATTCCCCAAATAGTAGAAAGTAGGGAGTGACTCTCTTACTATTAGTTTTCGAAAACTTTGTGACAGACGAACCGAGAAGTCTCTGGAATTCTGAATGACGACCTCGTAATTTAATTTATCAATAATTAATTATGTTCTGTACTTCAGCAAAGTAAATTAATTTCCCAAGTAACAGAAAATAGTGAACGAATTTGCTCGTGTTAGTTTTCGAAAGCTTTGTGACAGATAAACCGAGATAAATCTCGGAAATTTTGAATGATGATCTTTCAATTTAATTTTTAATAATCAAGTTCTACACTATCAACAGGATAAGTTAATTGCCCGAGTAACAGGGAATAGGGAATGAAGTTTCAAAAATTAATATAAATAACACCCTTCCAACGATAATTCTCTATTGCGACTTGTAAATTTGCAAACATCGTTCAGCTCCGACTGGTGAACGATGAAATTCGGTTTCAACTGATCCCGGTGTTAACGGAGAACATCACGGTGTCGACCGGCGTGAAATTCCCACCTTACAATACCTCTTGGCACGCGGTCGAATTGAATTACACGAAAGGGGAGCTCAGCGTTCTGGTGGATTATCGGAACAAACAGAGCAAGCTCTTCTCCATGACGTTCGAACTGGGCGACAGAGTTACCATCGGAAGTG